AAGCTGTACACTCCATTTATCCTCCATTTAGTCTTTTTGATCATTTTTTTTCTTCTTTTTTCTTTCTTATTTCTTTTTTACAAATTGCACATTTCAAACGACAAGGATGAGAATAAGGAATGTCATAAGTGCACTTATTCATATACAAATTTGCAAATGGTTGACTGACAGGGATATTTACCTGAATACTCACTCTAGACATGAGATAGTAATTAGCACAAAGATATGCACCATGATCCTGTTGCAAACATTTTCTTCTGTTCATGTGCATATAGTACATATCTCCTGAACTCAAATGAATTTGTGACCAAATTTTTTCCATTTGGAAGCCAGACTGGCAAACCATGGTACAAAACACTTGATAAGCCTGATCCTGCTCAGTCTACCTTGTACCTTCATCCATCTGCTATTACATATAACGTCTCTATTGTTTCTTCTATCCATATTCCCTTTCTATCTTTTCCTGATGTTCCTTCTACTAGCCCTGCTCCTAAACCTTACTTTTCCCATCCCCTTTCCTATCTTTTTGGCTTTACTTTCTCATATCTCATCCTTTGATGTTGTTTCTGAAGACTTAGAAATATTTATCCTCAGATAAAAGATTGTTCCCAGCCACAATATTTATACAAGGTAGCTGTGCTACAATCAGCTTTTATGATACGTCTAGTTTTGTTGTCACTGGTGTTGCCAGAACAACAAATGTTCATTTCCAAACACCCAAAAGGTCTCAGTGAAGTTGTGTTTTTTTTATGACGGAGCTTTTATTGCTCTTCTACGGAATTCTAGGCTTTGGGGAGGGCCTGAGAAAGTTCTGACTTCTGAGCATAAGCATAAATTATACACATGCAGCAGTAAACTACCATAATCCTTTTCGGTGCCTCAAGGTTGATTCATGAAATATTCTGTCCTCGTGTATGCTCCTGGGTCTATTTCCTACCAAGGTTGTACATTTCTGAGAAATGTTTTCCTGCTATATCTATCAAAGAAAGTAATTATTATCGCACCTGCAAATTTTGGCATTTGGGCCAGTTGACACGCTTTTCAGTCACATCTTGACTGCATCTATGACAATATACTGGAATTTACCTGTTATTAAGCAATTAAGTCCAACAAACAGTTGAAGAATTGGTTGAATTCAAAGACATGATCAAAAAATTATCTGAATACAGCTTAATTCATGCATAAGCTATGTGTTAAACAATTTCATCATTTTTCTTTATTTTCCTTTTTTACAAATTACTATGAAAATAATCATTATTGGCAGCAAGATATATCTGACATCATTCAAATGAACTTACTATGAATTAGAACCATATGTATCAAAAATGGATCAGGACATAAGAAAGTAGACTTTTAAAGAACTTGAAGGATAGTTTTCCTTGATATCATACACTACGAACAGCATCACAGCGTCAGTACTTACCATATAAGGATACTTTAGTGTACTATACTTTATAAAAGAGTTTAGACAGTATTAAGCCAAATAAAAAAAATTGTGAATCAATAACAGTCAGTTCATGAGGGTCTAGCTCATTTTAACTAGGTTGTTACTACTTCTATTGATATATTTTGGAATATCAAAGTAAACAAGATAAGTATGCACCTTATTTGTCCCTACCACAGACAAATTTACTAAACCTCTGTTATTCGTTTTCTATCTAGATTAAGAATTTCAAGCATTTACTGCCAAAAATAGTATTATTTTTTATTTGCTTATGATATTTGGGTTTTAACATAGGAATCATGATCCCCTGGGAGGTCATATAGTCTTTTTAGGGTTTACAAAAGGGATATTTGGGGGTTACAAAGGGATGTTTTTGTGGTTACATAGGGATATTTTTGGGGTTACAAAGGGATAAATATAAATTCCCATGGCACCATATTCCAATGGTACAGAATCAAGCTTATGGTAATCAAACACCTTTGATGCCCTTGACTTATCTCCACTGCTGTGCATGTCATTTGACACATATGACTGAGAATAATTAGTAATAATAGTTAGCAAAGAGCAGTATTGCAATTTTTTCTTCTTTTAGATTCTTCATTTCTTTTAAAGTTTTACTTACTTGTCACAGGAACCTTGTTGTGGCTTATTTTGAATTTTAATGGTTAATGGTTGAGCAAATAAATGTTAGACATCAAAGGTCATATAGTAAATATTGTGGTGAAAAGTTAAAATGAGCTAAGATTAGATAAAAATGTGTTAGATGCAAAGGTTATTGAGCATTATAGGATAGCATGGTAGTAAAAAGGGTAAAGATGAAATGAAGTAAAGTAGAGATTAGTCTAAGAGGAAAGAGTTAAAAAGAACCATTATGAAACAATCAAAAGGTAATATGGGTAGAGATGGCTATTGGAGAAGTAGCAGCAGCAGAATTCTGGGAATGAGATACGGGGATTGGGGAAGGTGGTGAAGTATCAGGAAGAATGTCAGGAGGGGAAGGGTCTAGAGAAGATTCCCATGAGGATCCATAAGGGAGTGGTAATGATAATGGAAAATGAAGAGGCAATAGTGCAAATGGAGGAGAGGATGGGGTGTATTGGGAGAGGGTGGGAGGAAGGGGGGTAGGGGGAATTTGAAAAGGAAGAGGATGGATATCAGCAAATATGTTATATGTAGAAGGAATAGGAACAGAGGGATTGGAGGATTGATGAGGGAGCAATGTTCCTTTGGGTCATATATAGGAAGTTTTGGATGTCGAGTTTCTAGAAGAGTTGGGTGAGGAGGTCTGAGAAACAAAAAGTTCTCTTGTGAGGGATAGATATCCGAGGAACCAAAGGAAAAAAAGGGTGCAAGAGAGGATATAGTAGAAGATGGAGTGGAACATTCAAGTTGTCTGGTGCAACAGGTTAAAGTGAGAAGGAAGGAAGGGTAGGCATCAGGGAAGTAGTAGAAATTGGAGTACCTGGATTTAGACTGGAAAAGGAATTTGGCTGGGGGAGAGGGGGAGTAGAGACATAGGATGGTTTGAGGTAGAGGGAAGAGATACTGGGGTAGATGCTGAGACATCTTGAGAAGATGGAAGAGAAGCAGAGTGAAGGACAGTTATGGAATAGGTAGAGAGAAAAACCTTGTTGGCATACTTCTTGTCTGGGCTAATGTACAGGGAGGCCTAGTTTGAATCTGAAAACAGCAACCTCACATTTAACCCATCAGCGACGGGTAAAAATTTTGTCAAGTTTACATATGCACCGGCTCGTTGGCGTGCACTGGCAGTTTCTCCGTTTGCGCCCAGCTCAATCGGTAGTTTGCGAATGACATATAGCACCTAAAAGCTTTTATTTTTCTAAAATTTATAAAAATATTAAAATTTTGAAGGTTTACCTTCACTTTAGGTGCCATTGCCTAAAATCTTTACCATATAAATGAAGCCGCTACTAGTGAAGAAAAACAACCTCCATCCGACAAGCCAGTAGCGCGGGAATGGGCATGGCATGATGCCCCCGGCATTTGGTCCACAACAGCCATGGCATGTACATATGTGACACATGGCGCCAATGGGTTAAGCTTGTAGGTTGGGTAGCTCATAAAATAAATTATGGGAGCCACCACAATTGGTACATGTACACAACTGTACAGAGCAATACAAACAATCAAGACTAGGTTGGGCATATAGAGGGCAGGGCAGTTGGCTGTGGAGCGAGTGTTTGGTTGGGTGGCCAAAACACCATTTCTGACACTGACAAGGAAAAGGTTGATATGGTTGGACAGGGAAGGACACTCCACCAAAATATAAATCAAGGTGGTCATGTATACAGAAGCTAATTTTAACAATATTGTTAGACTTACACTGGCCTCTGGGAGGAATAGTGTAGTACCATACTGCCACTGCATTATAATCAACAAGACCGACAAGTAGGTCATTTTCACAGTCTGACCAGTCGTTGTAATAGACAGGACAATCAGTCAGAAAGATGAAGTCCGTTCTGGTACAATTATTAAGGGAGTGAGGTTTGGTTTGAGAGTGAAATCAGTCGGAGTAGATAGTGCATGAGCTTGGGACTCTGATGTAACTATAACAAGGCACGAATGATCGGAATGACTGTGAAAGGAAACTTTCCTTACTTGTTTTAGGAAACATTGTTGGAAGAGAGTACTCAAAAGGTTTGTAGAAGTGCAAGTAGTAGAAGGGCAAGGGCAGGAGGAAAATGGGTTGGTGTGGAGTGAGGTAGTACTGTGGGGGAGAGGACAATACAGATGAAGAGTAGTAATAAGGAAGGAGGGGGTAGACAATGAAGAAGATTGTGGAGTAGGAGATGGAGTGGAGAATGTTGGGAGAGAGGAAGGCATGCATTTTGAAGGTTGAGTAATAACCTGAGTGGGTGGATTTGAATGGATTGAGTTGTCAGTAAACATCAAGGAGATTGTATTAGTATCAGTGGTCAGAGCTGCGGTGAAAGGAGAGGCAAGTGTTGCAAAACATTGAAATCAAATTTAGATAGGCTAATTGATGAATGGGCAAGCTTTAATGTTCCTAATACGGGTAAAAAAATCTTCATTATTGGCCAGGATGAGCCGGAAATAAGTGGGGTAAAGGCTAGGCTATTAATGAAGGTAATATCGCCCCCATGGCTCCTAAAGACCATTCATGACTGACACAAAGTCAGCCTTTCATCCTTTCAATAAGGCTCTCACACCACAGGATGTGGACAGTGGCAGATGCAGAAGAGAAGAAAAGGAAAGGGGGAGAAGAAAAGACAATGCAAAATTGGTTGAAGCAAAGGCCGCAGCCCAAGGTAGGGATGATCCCTACACTAATTTTTGTTTCTTTTGAGATCAGTGTGTTAGAGGAGTTTGCAAACAGTACATGAAGAAGAGAAAATATTACTGCATTAGGTCTACCTCTGGAAAGTGAAAAAAAAAATAGAAATTAATTAGTACATATTGTAACTTATGAACTTGTGGTTATATAAAGTAATTACTCCTATTTTCATTCAAAAATTAATACTTTTGCAAGGTATTATAAAAAGAGGGCAATAAAGGGAAAATATACACATAGGAAATTTAAAACTTTACTTAACAGTTAAATCTGTACACTGTATATACACATATCTATTAACAAGAATTCAACTACAACTCTTTATTTGGCTTTTAATTTGTATGACTGTAATCAAGTACATTAGGCATAAATAACAAGGTAAACCGAGAAAAAATAAGGAAAAAAAACTTGGGAGGTACATATTCTTCTGAAATGCTTCATATGTGAGCATTTTCTTTCAAATTCCTACTTGTCATGTGAGACACAGTAAGCAGTTTTAATATAGCTATAAGCATAAAACCCATGTAAATTCATTACGACTTACATACCAGATCTTTTACTCACATATTAGTGAACACACTTAATCATCAAAACCTTTAGACTACATAATTTTCATATTAAGTACTAAACTTAAATTTTGTACTTGAATAATTTTTCTGGATGATCTTTACTAAGATAAAGATATAGAAATAAAGTTTACACTGCAAGTATGAATATACCCAGTACTATGAAAGTCAAAATCCCTATTAGTCTCAATCATTCCATTATTAAAAAAAAACAAAAAAAACACTTCACTCCATTTGCTTTCTGATATAAATAAACCTAGTTATTAAGAGAGAGAGACTATAAAAATTACAAAAAAAAATTTACGTTTCTCTCTCTTTCTCAAAACTTCAGTCTAACTTCTTGTCCAGCGCCACCAAGCAACCACCATCCTGTCCCAGATGTTCTCCCAAGAGTCCATTGCTGGCCGGACATCTAGGATTGCAAACTTATAGTCCTCAGGATTCACGTCACCTCCATCATAGTAGTCAATGATATAGCGTACTTCCTTGCCACAGCGGTCGACAATCCAATCATGGCGGTCAAAAGGCAGCTCATATCTGAAAGTTGCATTTTCCTTTCAGTGTACTGAATATAATAGGATGATGGCAAAACTATGTGATAATGATTAGTAATAGAAATTAAGAACAGTTTTTGTGGAAAAAAGTAAATTCAGTAATAAAGATTACCAGCAAAAAGTAAACCATGACATATGGCAGGACAATTTCCAGTCATTACAATTCAGCAAAGAATAGGGGATTTGGTTTAATTTTGTCATTCACCACAAGGTCTATTCAGGAACGTACAACACTTTTTCAGCCCCATGTCAAATTCAAGACAAGGTTACCATCATTTGTTAACCTTGTTGAAGCTTTCTCCTGTGTGAAACTGAATTCCATTTCCTACTTTAAACTAAATCTTCTTTCTATTGAACACAAATACAATACCCTCTTTCAGCATTTCATGTTGCTGCCTTATTCTGTGTTTATGATACAGTATCTCCTGAAGAAAAATATACACAAAAATACACATTTCTATAGCATTTTGGCTACCCGTTTCAACTCCTTAATCCATTGAAAGTTTCATTTATTTCACTCCCTCTTCATATTTCTTTTAAGGGGAAGAGTCGTCAGTACTGTTCACAAATTACGATTTTTTCAAACTTTGTGTGTTGATACATGACCATGTGACGCACCCAGGGTGCCGGTTGCCAGATGTGTAACGCACTCCTTTCCGCGGTTTAAAGGTCTGGGGTATTTAAATGCCCTTGTGCTGCCACACCCCTTTTTGCTTCATGCTTTGTTTTTCTTGTATTTTCAGCTTTTTTCGGCTGTTTTTGCGAATTTCTTTGGTATGATACTGCTGTACGATAGTTTAGGCTGCGTTCAGCAGACAGGCAGCAGCAGCAAGGACGGGAGAACAGTGCGATTGATAAAGTTTTCGGGAGTACACATGTTTTGTTTTCAACCTGTTGAAAACCTAACAATATGTCATTTATATATCAGAAATGCATAATATACGATTTATTATGTACTATGATATGTAAATGACAGAGGAACCAGGAGCCTTGACATCTGAAAGTATACTTTTCAGAGAACACTCCCACCTAACCTAACCTAACCTTGACATAAAGATGACCTAAAATTACCTGAACAAGGCCTGACCCTCTACCACAGGACTCATATTAAAGGCCAAGGAATTGTCTAAGTAGATATTCACATTTGGTAATCATTGGTATGACCTTTATGATGTAATGACGATGAATGACAAAAACTGCCATTTTCTCAAAATCATATTTTCACGCATGATAGTAAGGTTAACTTTGTATGTAATTACGCGATTTTAATAATTCTTGTTGCAAAATGATCGTCCAGTTCGTATCTACTAACTGTAGCAAAGTCATGCATTATTTCCACCAAATACATTTTTTACTGAAAAAAATAATGGCGATTTTCGGACGAAAAAAAAGCGCTTTTTTGCAAGGTAACTGAAACATTGTCGTTTCAGATAGATTTACATAAATGCTACATTTGGTACTCCTATTTGTTGACTAACTCTGGTCAGAAGGAAACTGCAGTACTATTCACTATAAGGAAACCATCACATAATTTTTGAATTCTATCATCTCGCTCTTTTTTTTTTTTTGCGCAAAAATTTACGCAGCTTTTTAATCAAATTTCTTGTATACAAGCATCACATACCCATGCACTTTGTGTAAAAAAATTATTGACCTAGCTAAAAAACTAAAGTAAGCAGGATCGGATAACGAATTTCGTGATCGTACCGACGACTCTTCCCCTTAAAGAAGCTAATGCTATGCAAATACCATACCTTAGTTTACTAAGGTATGGTATTTAAAGATAAAAGAAATGCTGAACTGTGAACTGAAAATAAATGTAACATTTCAAACTTGTCAGGAAAAAAAAGAAGAAAAAATTATATATATATATAAACATATACATAAAACAAATAAAGAGAAAAATCATCATTACCTACATAGAACAAGGAACTCTCAATGAGATTTTTTTTTTTTTTTCTCTTTTAAGATCAAGTAATCTCGGTCATATGGGTACTAAAAGGCTGGATTGGGTGTTGCATGTATGCTATAAACATAAATATGTGGATGCCCCATGGCAAAATGATAAAACCTACACTATTACTATGATGCTGTAGCCGATTCTTTTTCCTTTTCTTCTTCTGTTGTACTTAATGACCATAATCTGTGTTCTACTTCTCTTAGTCTCTCCCTTTCTTTGCCCTATCTGTCCAGCTCATACTACCCCTCTCTATACACTTCCTATTTATCATAAATGTTCACTCCTATTTTCCTTATTTTTCTAGGCTACTTTCACTGAGCTGAACTCCCATCCTTTTGTTTCTCATTATCTGTATCTCCCACGTCAAACTAACTATCCACTAGACATGGGACATGCTATAGCCTAATAGCTGATCCTGAAACCCACATATAATTTATCCTAGTTAAATAGCATTTCTAGTGATTGTGATATCACTGTCAACAATACTATTAACCCAATGTCGACAGGAAAATGATGCGTTCCCTCTGGCAATGCTTGCTTACATGTTTCTGCACATAGATGGCTCTGCCAATGCTTAGCCACAAAGGAGTCCTCCCTTTTCCTTGAATAAGCACAAAAATGTTTTTTTTTTTTACTAATGCTATCTATATTGACACTTATTTTTGCTAAAACATTAAAATTACTATATTGTTACTGACATTACAAACAGCAGTAATAATATAGAAAATATTATTGAAATCAAAGAAAAGGGTAAACAGGCGTGACAGGTAGTTCACATTATTGGCTCATTGGTGACTTAGTACTTTGGAGCCATCTATATGGCTTGTTCCGTAGTTTGCTGGCAACATTAGGCACCTAAAAGCTTGCATTTTGATACAGTTTTATTAATTGTAAATTTTTGAAAGTGTACCTTCACTTCATGTGCTACTGCCCAACAGTTTTCCATAAAAATGATTCTACTACTATTGGAGAAAAACATGCTCAATCCAATAAGCCGACGGCACAGGAATGGTCGTGTCTGATGCCACCCACTACTTTGTGCACAACAGCCATGGCATGTATGTACATGCCATTCACTGGGAAGTGGTTAACATTATTGACATTATCAATATAATGCCTATTAACCCATTTGCTCTGAGTCCCTCACTAACCACACACAGGCTACAAATCAGGCATTAGACAGAATTGGGACTCTCCCAGGCATATGGCTTGTAGGCCATAGCAACATGAACACTCATGTGTAGTGTTATGAATCCTTGCCTCCCTTTTGCAATATTATCTCTTTTCTTGCATAAGCATCTTTTGCTTTTTTGCAATTTTCTTAGACCACTGGTTGCGATATTATGTAACATGGCTCAGTCCCATAGCAGTATTTATTTTACGCTCAGGAGGTGTGGGAAACCACGCAGGAGAGTACCCTCTATGGCAATGTTGCTTTCCCTCCTTGGTACATATATGTGTGCATATGTATATATACACACATATGTTTGTGTATGTATATGAAAACCCTTGCAGATATATGCAGGCATGCAAACATATGTAAATGCGCTCAGAGAGAATGGAGGGCCTGGCTGTAGCAGCACCGAAGACATGCAACTCTTTTGGCGGGTAACATGCCCTTGGGGTAGGCCTAGGCCCTGGAAGGCCATAAGGAGGCCAACTCCTTGGCGTCTGACATCCTCTTGTCTGAACAGCTCCCGAGCACACAGCCACCCACTGCTCCATGCAATTGGCCCTATATGGCACTTCGCATCAAATCAAGCTATTTGCGACCACTAGGTTAAGTCTATATCTGTTATTTGATATGCTTTATCAAGATAGTAAAATACTTTCTTGCAGACTCCATAAAATCCCACTAGGAAGTTTACAACTCTGTGCAATAGTAATATGCAAATTTTTGTTATTTGTGTCACTCTTCAATATTCAAAAATAATTTCTTATTTGATTAACCCATTCAGGACTGGTAAAATTTCAAATGAAATTGCCGAGACCAATGTGCACTAGAGCCTGCTGCTTTGTGTCTGGCTACTGCCTGGCTCCAGCCCTGGCTCCTGAGGGGTCATCTCAGGTGCTGGATTTGGGCTTACATGATTAAACTTCACAGAGCATCTGTGAAATTTTCAGCAAAACTACATGTTCTTTCTCACCTATGTACAGATGGAGCTCTAAACTTTGCCATTAAGAAGTTCTGAAACATTTCAAAATAAATCATGCTTACCCCAACCAACTCCTCATGCGAGCCCGGGGAGAGTAGTCCGATGCCTTGCCACCAAAACGCTTCAGCTTGGGGTTCCCACACTCATTTTTGTGGAGGGATTCCCACTTTAGGACCTGCAACACAAAAAAGCATGAGCTTTGATCTATGTGGAGGAGGTGGGGCAGGAGGAAGGTGGAAGGAGATAGATAGGTAGGAGGAAGAGATGGCCAAGGAAGAGGAGATAGCCATGGAAGATGAGACATACAAGGGAAGAGGATGTACACCAGGAGGAGAATACAGACCTGGCAGAAGAGGAAGAGATACTCAAGGAGAATGAAGAGACATACAAGGAAGAGATAACATGGGAGGAAAAAGAGGACATAAACAGTCAGGAAGTAGATATGAAGAGGAGGAAGAGGATGTAGACAAAGAGGAGAAAGGGAGACAAACAGAGAAGAGGAAGGGGAGGAGCAGACAGGCAAGGAGCATGGAAGCAACATTCAACAAGAAAGTTCAGGTAGATAAGAGAAGGGCAATGAGATGGAAAAGAACACAGAGAAACATGCTAACAAGGAGGATCTGGTTAAGAAGAAAAACAAAGATAAGAACAAAGAGGAAGGCCAGAGGAGTAAGGAGGCACAAGAAGATATAAATATGAAATAGAAAAAAAAAAAAAAAAAAGTAGAATGATTGTGAAAAATGTGATAGAAAAGAATCCTCATACATAGTGGTGCCACGTGATATGATAATATACATGCTTCTGGGGTGAATTTCTCTCCAGTTATTAACCACACTAATATTACTGTGATCAGTCTCTGTGAAGACATTTTACACATCTGTAACCCATTCAGGTGCCTTGCAACCTTCAGAGGAAGATATTGCCAATTCTTAATCTCCAACTTCATTTTGACATTTACAAAAAAATAAAAAATAAATTCTACAAACATACTCAAATGTGTATGCCTGCATCATAGGCAAGAAACACTTGTTCACGTTGAAGTGTTTATGCATGAAGTACGTCTGTGGCAGAAATAGTGGGTCTACATATATCCCAAAACACCCTTCACACTTGGTTAAATGCATCAAAGCTGGAAATCCAAAAACATGTCTTGCAGCAGTTCCTGATCCTTGTGTTTTGCTTCACAGTCAAAAAAGGTTTGGCTCTCACAATTTGAAAGAGATTATCACAGGGTGCTTATAAGTCTTACACACACTACCATTCTCTTAACCCATTGGACCCAGATGATACTGCAGTCATGTCATAGAAAAACTTCAGCCGAGGGGCGGGTGAAGAGAACATGCTGTCAGCCAGGCAAATTGGCCGTGGTACAGGTGACACGAACTGCTGTCATGTGCGAAGGCCAGGGTGACGGAAAAGACTCGTCACAAATGCACAAAGCTCTTGGAGTGTGATTTGACTCATTTGGCACTTAGAAGGGAGCTTTAGCATTATTTCCATCAAAAAACAAATATGTTATGTAACATGCATAAGCAGTGACTGGAAAAGCGCTGGCTCCAAGGAGGATGCCATTTCTATTCTGCGCACTGTATTCCTGGTCGCTGTGACTGGTGGTACAGATCGTATTATGTAAGATTGAAAATTACAAAAAAATTAGATATATGACAAATAACCAAATGTTCCATATTTTTTTTGTTGCACCGAGTTATTTACTACATAGAGAGATGATATGGAGTCTGTGCAAGATAAATAGGTAATAACTATCTGGATAAAGCAAATCAAAAGACAAATATGGAACATTGAAAATGGCAATAAATCTAAAAAAAAGTTTACAAAAATAATTTTGCAAAGGGGGGCACAGCGTCTTGTCATTGCTCATAGGTGTTCATGCGCACCCGGCCTACATGCCACTTGCCCGGATATTGGCCACTTACATACCCATTGCCCGGGTTTTCAGTATCGCAATTTCCGTGATGTAACCAGATCCAAAGGATTCAGTATCATCGAGTCTCCAATTTTGATGCATTTCATTAGTAAACAGGTGCTTTCAGAGATTTTAGACAGTCCCAATTGAGGAGGGCACATGAAAACGCATGTACAAAAAAGTCAAGAGCGGGCTGGAGGACTTAAATGGCAAATTGACAATATATAATAACTTTAGAGAATTTGATGCAGTAACATTTTTGGCTGAATATAAGACACCTAATTTTAATATCATGATTGGCACAGTATAGATAAAAATATGTATGTGAGTGCCCGTTTACACTGATATCAAACAATCAAAACAGCCATCTCTTAACTTACCTCTTGCCAAGCCAATTCATTGTTGACATTGTGAATGCTGATGATGTGTTGCATGTCTTTCTGTGAGAGGTCATCATCCTTCCACCTCCAGCCCTTCCTCAGCATGGCATTCCAGAACATCTGTGGGGAAGGGTACACCCAGTGCTCGGAATCTGAACCTGCTTTCGGGATAGTTGACACCTGAAAGTGCAGGGAAGGATTTGCTATTAATCAAAGTGTCATATAATGTCCCTTGTTAAGCCAAATTTTATTTCTCTTTAGAAGTTTCTTTTTGTTTCACTCCCACTTTATACTCTCACGTATACACCTGTATTCTCTTACTTTACACATGCAATTCACTAGCATTCACACGCACTTTCTCACATTCACACGCACTTTCTCACATTCACACATTCTCATTCTCAATTTCTATATCTCTGTAACAACCCCATGAATGCACACACACACACAAACACTTATGCATTCAATTATCTTTCCCCACTCTCTATCACATACACAAAACCTCTACAGCAACTACCAGCTTCCCCTTCCCCTTCCCCATGAGCCTTACCTGTCTCTCAGTGGGTAACTCGAAGGGCTGGTCAGGGCCGGCTTTTGGTTCGGGTAGGACTCCATGTTGAGGGGGTTGATGTCCACATACTTGCCTGCATACTCTTTGCCTAAATGCATGCCTGCCTGGTGTACAGGCCACTCGGCATCTGGGTTGCCACTCATTGGACACTCACTCGGGAATGCCTGTCAAGAGTAAAAAAAGTGACAAATAAGTATATACATAAAAGTAAAGAATCAAATAAACTGAAAAAACTAAAAAGATGATAGAGGAAAATACTAAAACAAGTATTGAAAAAAATTAAAGGAAAGAGGTTATATGAACAAATCATAAATGCAAACAAGACATTACAGTAATGATAAAACCAGCAGAAAAGAAATATATTCTATGATAAAAATGAACAATGTCAATTTCTTCTCCCCTATTATTCTCCTCAAAAATATTGAATTCCAAAACCCACAATTCATCTCCCTTATCAAGGCAACCTATCCATACCTGAGATGTCTGCTGCTCCTGGTTATTCTGATGCATTGGGCACTCGGAGGGGATGACAGTACCCGGGGGAATGTGATGGGCCTTCTGGGGTGGGGTAGCCTCAGCACTCATCTTGGTGTGATCAACAGGACACTGTTTGGGAGGGGCAGCCTCCACACTCATATTGGTGTGATCGACAGGACGCTGTTTGGGAGGGGCAGCCTCCACACACTCATTTGGTGTGATCGACAGGACACTGTTTGGGGGGGCAGGGCCTGAGCAGTCTCCTGATTGCATGGGGCACTCAGCAGGTGCCATGTCCTTGGTGATTTCTGGGTGGCTCTCAATGACCAGCTCCGATGCATTGACTACGCCCTTTCCTTCTCAAGAGCCAAGCTGGTAAGTGATGTGGCTGTACTGTGTGCTGCTGAGACTGTGTTGCCCATCTTGTCTGTACTGTGGGATAAGGTGACTGATAAATGAAAAGGGAAATAGGAATCATAAAACATAGTGCTATACCAACAATAAATAAGCTGTTACAAAGCTTATATGTAGTCTGCAATGAACTAAAAACTTGAGAGTAATGCATCATAGTATATTACATATAGATAATTTAACCTCTAAAAAGTCAGATACTACATTATATCCATCAAGTCTGAAGTCACAGCCAAGCTGTCCATAACTGGTTTGGTAGTTTTCATCCTTTCAATTATGAAACCGGGACTATTATATGATATAGCTACTCTCTGCCATATTGTATCAGCTAAACAATTATGTGTACTTTGCTTTGTAATAATTTGACTTATTGAAATGCAGAGCTTTCTATTTTCAAAGTTTCAAGCAATAACTTTATTATTTTTAATGTTCTACAATGCTCTAAGTATGTGATGTGTATATTCTGGTGTTAGCTCTTTGAAATATCAAATGTTCACCATTTACCTCATTGACATTTGAAAAATTGGGCCCCTATGCATGGCACCGAGATTTGATATTGAAGAAAACTCTTATGTATGATTTTCTTAACTTTCACAGGTAAAATTTCATTTAAAATTGTCACATACATCCCCTTACCCTATGATCCCACATAACATGGACCATATGCTGTCTATGAGCATTATATGAATCTATTACATTCGTACAATATGTCTTAAAAGGAGTTTTTTACACATGTAAAGGGTAGTCTACATATTCAGAAACACCTGCATCGGTTTTCAAAGTGATTTTGTTAATTATAATACCAATGGCCTACAAGTCCCCCATGACTTATATTCTTGCAAGATAAAGCTCAGACTCCTTCCTAATTTATCTTAAAGTGTGATAAGTGCTATGTGTGATGTGTGTTAACTGAGTAGCCTATTAATCGAAATTGAGATTGATAGGGAAAACCCTTTGGATAGTCTAAACATGATGATAAACACGACTGGAAACAGAGTGCTGGTTTTATCTCATACGTCCACTGCTAAAGTCCTGGCTTTGATACAATCATGAATGGTATAATGAGGCTATCCAGAGGCAAAAACATCAATAATAAACAGCAATCGCTTATGAAGTGACCTTACTAACCCTGGGGCTTTATCCGCAGTCCCCCACCCAATTGCCATGGACTTACAAGTATTTTTTATAATTTCTGACATTATTCTTTGCCTGTGCAGATTATTTCAGGTAATGAAGAGTGCAATTTTTCCATATGTATAACAGTGTCATTAGATTCTCCTTATCTTGGTGCAGTTAATCATTACAGTATGGACACATAAGGTAGGGCAACTTGAAAATTATATTCTTGAAAGGACCTAAAGTTGCAGTTGTCAGTACAGAAATAATCAGCAGAAATGAATGGCAATGCCGCAAAAAAGAAAAAAAGTCAGCTAAGTCCACTTGGTAACCCAAAGTTTCAGCTCTATCCCTCCATGCATACCAAGGTAAAGACAATGTTTCTGGGAGATTTTGAACCCTCCCCTCAGGCTGCGGGTATGTCCATATTATAAAGAATTACCACTCAAATGTCTACCAATATGGTGGAGATTTCTCGATCTTTTTTAGCAGCTCCTATAGGTAGGTACTTTCATCCACCAAAGGCTAGCACTGCTAGTTTGGGAATCCTCTGAACATTTACTGTGAGTGAAATATAAAAGCCAAAGTAATAATGAGGCAAAAATGCGATGTTGTAGGTCATATCACAAATGATATAAATTAAAGTATCGGTAATATTTCTGAAGTAACCTTACCCTCTGCGATGAAGTCCGTATTACTCTAGCCATTCCTGGAGTAATAGGGATGAACTAAATATCTTCCTAACCTGGAGATCCCTATCCAATCACTGTACTTACCTATCGGAGGCTTTACCCCTAGACTACCGTCTGATCACTGTGGACCTTGTCACGATCTATTTACTGCATTTCTAACGTTATTTTTTGTTTACTCTGGTTAGAATTTCATGTGTTTTCAGTTTTTTTCTCATTGATTATCATAGTGCCATTACATTTTCCTGTGAATGTAAACCAGATCATTACATGTTGCACAACTTTCTAATAATCAAGTACCGAAGGTAACACCATAGATGAAAAGTGTCTTAATTTCGGTCATTATGCCCATCACAGGCAAATTTCATCTGTACTATATGTCATGGGAAATTTAAATCATACCCCAGCTTCATCATCATCTGCTGCATCTGGTTTCACCTAAAATGTGAAAATCTTTTTCATTAATTTTTACTGACTAACTCATTTGCTCAGATTGTTGTAACAGACCTGTCCTTCACCTCTCTTCAATGGCCTTAATTTCTCCTCCCTTGAATTTGATACACTTCTCTCATGAGCTTAAATATTGAATAAAGCCACATTACATAAGTACAGTATTTTGAGTAATAATATAGTAATGATATTTAAACCCACGGGACTCCAACTACGTCATTTGATACTTCGTGTTCTTATCTTTCTCCTCCACTCTTTCTTTTTCCTTTTTCCCTTCACTCTTAAATATGCTTGGACTTTGCTTTTATCAAGCCTATATCTGTAGCACTTAGGTATGAACATAAACAATATAGACCTACATTGAAATATCAAAATACATAAAATCTGAATTTCTCTCTTCTCTTCTTTTCTATGGTACTCTTCTTCCTGAACTTAATCTTTTACTTTGATTCTCACCTTTCTTACCCACGTAGTCTTCTGAAATGTAAATTAATCTTCAAAATGGGCGGAAAAAAGCAGAAATTAACGAGTTAACGCACACTATAACAATTCTCAGCACGACCTCACTGGCCCGGCTGCTGGATAGCTAGAATGGATCCAAGTTTCCAAGAGGAAAGAACATTAATTTATGTTAGTGAATTTTCTATTATAGTCGTACAGCGAGAATTATCCCCTTGCTTTGCTGATTTTTAACATCATAATGAAAAACTAGATAAATGATATTGTACATAAAAGGAATTCCAGGTGCACATGATTTCTCTACTATAACTAGAATGGATACAGATTTTTTCGATTATACAATTTGGCGAATGAACTCGAAAAAATATTTTTCACTTATACTATCTAATGCTCCTTTACGCAAAATGATGGATTGTATTTCAAGATTCGCAAAAATTGAATGAAAAACGTGTTATTTCGGTTATTCAAACAAGGAGGGAAATATCAACACGGAAAAAAAACATACTACTCTCAAAATATTACATACCAGATTCAACAGATTAATAATTTTCGATCTTTGTATTTGTGTTTATGCTATGTATACTAGTCTGGTATGACATAATAGCTATATGAATGGTTATGATATAGTTTAGATAAAAAAAAAAAAAACTCGCATACATTCAATTAGCATTTCAACACGCCTATTACACGATGCAGCTGTTGCATTAATAAAGATCGAGAGCGTCAACTTTATGTATTGTGTATTGTTTATGTATTGTCTAATCTAGTCTGTCCTTATATCGTGACAGTGACAAAGAAAAGTTAACTGAGTACTGCCTTTTTTCTCATTTTATACCACCCAATCGAAAATGACAAGTAACAAATAGGCATGCATAAAATTTAGTTATATCTCTTATGTCTCATCTCTCCTCTCCTCTCCTCTCCTCTCCTCTCCCTCCTCTCATCTTCTCTCTCCTTTCAAATCGTTTATTTTTTGTTATAACCTATACCAGTCATTAATGCAGATATAACAGTACTCTTTTACATGGTAATGTCTTGCTGGCAGCTGACATTCTTTAATTTCATATTCCTTATACCTGTAGATGGAAATTCAAAATGTAAATGAAACGGCCAGAAGGGAAATTCAAAGGGAAACGCTACAAAGGTTATTTTTGTCGTCTGCGGGGAGCATGCGCGTCCTCACTGCCATTCTACAGATAGACTTACTTATCTTTGATTTTGTGATTATGCGCCGTGGGTGACAGGGAATGTTAACTAACAATAACGTTTTTAATGAGGTGTCAAGGGAATTTCGGTTCAGATGAGATATAATGTGAGTTGTTTCGAATATATTTTGTATTTTATCAATTGGCACTCGGTTATGAATCCGATGTTGCTATTTCCCTTTTTCCCCAGCAATTTTATTTCAATTTACATAAAGTCAGACTTCCTATAAACGTAAAGATATGGTAGATATAATGAAAAATCTTGATTAGGAATATCAAATTAAGAAGTAATTAAGACATATTACAAAGATTTGAAATGTTCTAGTCGGCACCTCGTCCAAGGTGTCTGAGTGCTACTTATATTTTTTGTTCTCCTTGTTTTAAGTCCTTCATAATCACAAATAGAAACAAACCCTATTTCTGTTAATAAGTTTCTTGAAAATATTAAATAAAACATTTATAACGGCGTTGATACGATGCAATAATCGAATTTTGATTAGCTCGCCGGCACCCTCTCCGCGTCGTCTGCGGTGCCGCCAGCGACCAGGCAGAGAGATCCCAGACGCGAGGAAGGACGTACGCCTTTCTCCCCCTCTCTCTCTTTCCCGTATTCCTCGTGGGTGTCCAGAAATAAAAAGATACATAGGTCATAACAAACAAACGAAAGAGGAAGAGTTGTATTCCCCAACCGAGGAAGAACACACCCGCAAACATGGATCCCGAAGCCTTTTTAGAGATGGCCAACCAGGTCACCAAGTTAAAGATGTTTCCATACTTCGACGTCGCCCACTGTGCCCTCTGCTGCCTCTACGTCAGGGAGGACCTCGGCACCGGTGAGGATGCGAACTCCTTTGTTTGTTGTATGTGG